TGGGTGGTGGGGGGGTAGGGGGGGGCGGCGGGGCTGGGGGACCCCCCCCACTCAGCTGTCCCTCTTCTGGACCCAAGCTGCTGACTGGCTGACCGGAGCGGTCACGTTGACCCTCAGGGGATTTTGAAAGCTTTAAATCAAAGTTGCTTTTCACCCTGCCAACTCCGCAGCCACTGGGTTGTGGGCAGATAAGGACGTGCGCTTACCCGTCCGTCCAGGTGCCTGACTTAAGGAGGGTGGCCCTGTGCAATATCGGATTTGCCATCCCTCCCTTGGCCATTTTCTTTGTGTCTCTGGCCACAGGGACTGCCAGAGTAGACCGTCGGAGTAGATGGTAGGCTAACTGTTGGGAAGGATTAGCAAAGAAGCGGTAATTTCAGGAAACAATCTGAGTACTCGAGTTTTGGAGTTCAAATTTCTCGGACTTGGACTATCCAAATTAAATGCCCCAGTTCTCCCTCCAATCCCTAAGGTGTGCGCGGCCGCAGAGTTCTTGAGCGTCTGGAGCGAGAAGATTCGTTGGGCATTGAATTTGTTTTGTGAAGCGCCCATGCTTAGTAGTTCTTAGTGCATGGACAGAATGGGTTGTCTAAGCTCTTGGTGTGCTTTCAGACTTTGTTTCCAAGATGCTGCCTCTTTCTGCAAAGGCGGGACTTTTGAACCGGCTCCACCGACGTGTCTCCCCGCACTCAGGAGCCAGGTGCGCTCAGCTGTCTGGGGCTGTAGCTGCAGAGCAGGGTGGGCTGGTGGGAGGCCAGCGGGAGACACCACACGGGGCTCCGGGCCAGCTTTGCGCTTGGTGGAAAAAAGCCTTTGAGAAAGAGGCTTCCATCAATCACCAAGGCCTCCACCTTGCACAGATGTTTATCTTTCTGGAAATCTAAGGCACCTCTTTGACATTCCATTCCCTGGCCACACTAGACCGGTGGGGCGGGAGAGGACAAGAGAAAAAGAGACAGCAAAAGACTGGCACAGCAGATTGGGTGGATGGAGAGCTGGAAGGAGCCAGGGCAATGCCAAGGACCTGCACCCAGCGTTGTTATTAAAACACAAAACCCCTTTCCTACAGGCCCTAGTCTCTTTTGTGCGGGCTCCACTGTAGTGCCTTCAATAACCGTGTGAACAGAAATCTGAAACTTTCCGTCCTGACTTTTGAAACTAAACTCCAAGCAAATCACAAGGTCATCGGGGACCGGGCGGGGCCTGGCAAGCCTGGAAG